GATAACTTATCTCTAAATGAAATACTGATGTTAAAATAATGTAATTTTATGTATTTGAGAAAACTTTTCATGAGTATTAACCTTTTTTTCTAATTCTTATATAAACTCTCATGAATATTCATTTATGGTGAAATATTTTTAAATCTGTTTTGTCACCTATTTCTCCTTTCACATTGATCGTCATCCACCATTTCCCATGTCAAGCACTTTAGGTTTTGTAGCCTGAATGATGCTTGTGGACAGATTCATGTTGTCTAGCTATGGTGCATTTGTGTGAAATGTACAGCTCTCGTGTAATTGGATTTTTTTCCCTGTATCTCTCTATCCTTTGTTTATTTGTACATACTTAAGACATCCCATATTTGCATCAGGAAGACAGATTTTTAAATACTCAAGAAGTAGATTCACAAAGCACATTTTTAAAATCTTAGATTTGTAGCCAGTTAGATCTCACTTACTCTTTCCTTGCTTCCTATTGAAGCACATTTCTGACAAACATATCAGTAGGATTGTCTTGCCTGCTGAGGGCAAGAAGAAAGGCTACTTGTGGGGCACTATGATGTATGGAGTGCATATGTATACATGATGTATATGGAGCTAAAAATAAAGTTTGATTTGAATAGTTTAGTGAAAATAATCACTTCTTAAGAGCTTGTGAAAAATATGTAGTGTTCCTGAAACAAATTACTTAGTATAACTAAAAGTATAAATTATAAAATATATCATATTCAGCTATTACAGGACAGATCTGATAACAGGCTACTATAAAAAGAGTATTCCTTTGTAAGTGCATTTATATTATCCATGACTTCTTTTGGTATTGTTTAAGCATTTCTGTTTTCACAAGCGTTACTGGCATATTTTCTTTTTCTCCAGTGGGTCTTTCTAGGTTCAGGAGAATTAACAAACCCTTTCTCTTCAGAACAGTTTCCTTCCTGCCATGCTTTTAACTATCACGCTGTCTTTCCCTGTTTCCTTCTATTTTTTCTTGCTTGTCCTCTATCATGCAGTGCTGATACCAGATTTACAGAACATATGGGTGAATCATTCCTTTGACACAGGTGTGGTGCAACAACTTCTGCTGGAACTTTCTGCGGCTGTGACCTGGTGAACTGGCTAATTGAAGTCGGCCTTGCCTCTGACCGTGGTGAAGCTGTGATATACGGAGACAGGCTGGTACAAGGGGGAGTCATCCAACATATTACCAACGAGTATGAATTCCGGGATGAGTACTTGTTTTACAGATTTCTTCAAAGGAGTCCTGAACAGAGTCCTCCTGCTATTAATGCAAACACTCTCCAACAGGAAAGATACAAAGAAATTGAGCATTTGTCCTCACCCTCACATTCCCCTAAGACCTAAATTATGAAGGGGAGAACCCTACATGGAATCATATTCTAGCCCCATATTCATTAGTTTTTAGTTGGGCGACCTTGGGCAAGTTAACAGAGGCAACCTCTGTGAGCCTCAGTTGTCTCTTCTGTAAAATGTGACAAGATGTGTTCCCACTACATGCTCAGGGTCTGTGATTTTACATGTATGTAAAACACATAGGAAGCTGACTTACGAAAAAAAGAAAACCAAATTAAAGTTCTGATAATGAATATAATATAGTCATCCTTCGGTATCTAAGGGGAGTGGTTCCAGGACTCTGAAGATCCCAAAATCTGAGGATACTCAAGTCCCTTATATAAAATGGGGTAGGCCGGGCGTGGTGGCTCATGCCTGTAATCCCAGTACTTTGGGAGGCCAAGGCAGGTGGATCACTGGAGGTCAGTAGTTCAAGACCAGCCAGGCCAACATGGCGAAACGCCTCTCTCCTGAAAAATACAAAAAATTAGTTGGGCGTGGTGGCAGGTGCCTGTAATCAGCTACTTAGGAGGCTGAGGCAGGAGAATCGCTTGAATCTGGGAGGCAGAGGTTGCTGTGAGCCAAGATCGTGCCACTGCACTCCAGCCTGAGCAACAGAGCGAGACTCTGTCTCAAAATAAATAAATAAATAATAAATAAATAAAACGGTGTAGTATTTGCATATAACCTATGCACATTCTCCCATATACTTTAATCATCTTTAGATACTTATAATGCCTAATACAATGTAAATGCTATGTAAATAGTTGTTATACTGTATTGTTTAGGGAAAAATAAGAAGAAAAACAGTCTGTACATGTTTGCTACAGATGCAACCATTGTAAGCCTAATTACATTTTTTATCTGCAGTTGACTGAATCTGTGGATGTGGAACCTGTGCATATGGAGGGTCAGCCATACTATAAATAATATGAATATGCCAACATTATATAATCATTGCTTTCTGCAACTGTTTACTATAATTTCAAAATTAACATCCTATTAACTGTTCCTTTAAATTATCAAATTTGGCAAGTATATTGCTGGCAGGAAATACACCTTAAATTATGACAACTTTACAATTTTTGATAGCGCCTCTTGTAAAAGAATTTTAATGATTCTAACAAGAGGTTATTTTTCTTTTTTCCATTTCCTTGACAAATAGTACTCATTTAAAAACTAGAGGTCCAGGTGTAGTGGCTCATGCCTGTAATCTCAGCACTTTGGGAGGCTGAGGCGGGCAGATAGCTTGAGGTCAGGAGTTTAAGACCAGCCTGAGCAACACGGTGAAACCCGGTCTCTACTAAAAAAAAGGGAAGAAAAAAAAAAAGAATAGCAGGGTGTGGTAGCGCATGCCTGTAGTCCCAGCTACTTCGGAGACTGAGGTGGGAGTACCCCTGGAGCCTGGTAGGCGGAGGTTGCAGTAAGCCAAGATCACATCACTGCACTTCAGCCTGGGTGACAGAGCGAGAGTCAGTCTCAAAAAAAAAACAAAAAAACAAGCAAAAAAACCTAGAGGCACTATTTTTTTTAAGTTTGTCTTTTCTTTTCTACCCAAATTACTAATCTATGCCGTTAAGGAATAAAAACCTCCATATGTATTATTATCTCCACAGTCCTTCTGTAGAATTACAATCTGATCTTTAACTTTTATGCTATAAATACTAATTTGAGCAGATTAATTTGAACTTGAAAAAAATTATTGCCATATAATGTATCATTTCTGTATTTGAACAAAGCATCATAATGCAGGATAACCCTTTTAATTTATTCCCTGCAGTTAAAAAAAATAAAAACTATATAGTTCAAGCCAATATTTAAAAATTCTAAACATAGGCTGGGCATGGTGGTGGCTCACACCTGTAATCCCATCACTTTGGGAGGCCGAGGCAGGTGAATTGCTAAGCCCAGGAGTTTGAGACCAGCCTGGCCAACCTGGTAAAATCCCATCTCTACTAAAAACAAACAAACAAAATTAGCCAGGTGTGGTGGCGTGCACCTGTAATCCCAGCTACTTGGGAGGCTGAGGCAGGAGAATTGCTTGAAACCAGGAGGTAGGGGTTGCAGTGAGCTGAGATTGTGCCACTGCACTCTAGCCTGGGTGACAGAGTGAGACTCTGTCTCAAAAAAAAAAAAAAATTCTAAAGATTACATTTAGAATTTAGTCTTTTTAAAGTGTCCATGTATAAAAATATATAATTTTTAAAATCACTAAATGTTGCCTTCTCAGTCTATTATTTCAGCTACTATAACAAAATATCATAAACTGGATAGCTTATAAACAACAGAAACTTATTTCTCACAGTTTTGGAGGTTGTGAAGTCCAAGATTAAGGCACCAACATATCTGGTGTCTGGTAAGGGCCAAATTTCTGGCTCACAGATGGTACCTTCTTGCTGTGTCCCCACAGAGTAGATGGGAGGAACTGGTCTCATCGGCCCCTTATAAGGGCATTAATTCCACTCAATAGGGCTCCACCCTCATGACCTAATAACCTCTCAAAGGCCCTACCCCCTAATACTAACACATTGACGATGTGTCTTCAACTTTACATTTCTACAGGCAGAGAAGGGGGGCTGTGTAAATTCTCCCCATTAGTACTTGAATGTTCATTTAACAAATATTTATTGAACATCTAACATGTTCCAGACACAATCTGAACACTGAGCACACAACATAGAGGATGATTCCTATCCTCATGGAGCTTCTATTCTCCTGTGAAAAACAGATATTAAACATGATTGAGGATTAGGTTTCAACGTATGAATTCTGGGAGGACACAGACATTTAGACCATAGCATCTTCAGATAAGCTTTATCTTCAGTAAATTAAAGAGATCTATTTAGATGACCGTTGAGCATCTTAATTATTAGGTGTCAGTTTCAGTACTGGTTTAACTTATTTTAAACATGTTTCAGATATTTATTTAATTATACTTGTAGTGTCTCATATGTAAAAGTTATTTATAAAATAATTTATAGGGTTAGAGTCATTGTCCTTTTAATGAAACAAATAAACAATTTTTAAAAAACCTGCATGGGGGCCAGGCGCGGTGGCTCATGCCTGTAATCCCAGCACTTTGGGAGGTCGAGGATGGCGGATCACGAAGTCAGGAGATCAAGCCCATCAGGGTTAACATGGTGAAATCCCGTCTCTACTAAAAATACAAAAAATTAGCCAGGTATCGTGGCGGGTGCCTATAGTCCCAGCTACTTGGGAGGCTGAGGCAGGAGAATGGCATGAATCCGGGAGGCGGAGCTTGCAGTGAGCTGACTCCAGCCTGGGTGACAGAGTGAGACTCCGTCTCAAAGAAAAAAAGAACAAAAAACAAAAAACAAAAACCTGCATGGAAACCTAGTATATTTATTAATAACAAATAAATTATACTTTAGTGTACTATTAACCTGTACCAATTTTAAGTTGTGATCAGAGAATGGGGATGTTTTTAAGCTGAACTGTCTTGCTGCAGAACTTCCCTTTTTTAATATGACCATATTATGACTCTGAATGCTCAGGGGTAAGCCTAAGGCCCCACTGCTGTTACCAGGAGATTTTTCTAGTTACAGAAATAAAGATGTTAATTCACATGCATGCAGACAACTGAAACTCGAGTGGAAAATTTGTTTGTGAACAAGTCATACTACTTATCTTCTGTTATTTGCACGAATGGAATCTGCTACTTCTTTTTCCATGGGAGACACTAAAAGAAAACCCTGGATCAGAATGATCTGCAGTTTCAGATAATACAGGCTTTTAAGAGACATTTTTAGAATTAAAAATATGCTAATTTTATTAAATGAAAATATTTGTTACTTTCTCACTGACAAAGCAAATTTCTCAATAAAATACCTATTTTAACTTGCATTGCTGACATCTTTTCTTTGAGTAATCTGAATAATGCAGGAGCCATCATAGAGGTCTTTTACACGTTCTCACTGTTTTCTTAAATGGGTTTCCTGAGTTCTATTCTTCATGACTCTGGGCTCTGCAAACAGGGTTTCCCAATTGCGCATTCTACACACACTTTTATGAATGAGTCAATATAACATTAGAGTCCTTTTCATATATTTCATCATTTCCAATATGTAGAGTGACAGCTAGAAAAAAGATGATACAATTTTGCTCAAAACCTATCTCTTTTTCTTCAGCATAGTTGTTTTCTTAACTCTCAATGAGTAACTCCATGCCTAGCTTGTGCTTAGCTTTCAGTATTTTTAGACTGTCTAAGACAAAGTGTATTTGGCATTTTGAGAACAACGATTAATGGTCAGTACATTTCTAAAGCAAGAAAAATGTGAAACTAGTGTTTTATATGTTTGTTATGCAGCGGAATACAGCTCTTAGTGTTTGCCCCTTCATATCTCATCATGTAAAATATTAAATTGTTTTAGGCCACTGGACATAGGTAGTCCTGTCATGAGTGATGGCTGGAAAAAAGTTCAGGATCATAAATGTTATCACCATTTTTTAAGAAAAGATGAGATTATAAATTTCTGCAACTGGTATGACAAAAGGTTGAATTAACTAATGAGGTTGAATTAACTAACTAGGCTACTAGTTATTTCTAAAGCAAAACTTTTGGTTCATGATTAACATATATAAACTGGTGTTTTCATCAAAGATCAAACAAAATAGTCTTCTCTAGAATACTCGTATTATTCCCCTGGCTTATTAAGTAATGGTAAATAATACACAGTATCTAAGAGGTGACAGGTTGACCTGAAACTTACCAAAGGATATCAAGTTGTGCAGATAGATTGTCTAGCTAGTTTCTTCAACTTTACATTTTCTATAGGCAGAGAAGAGGGCTGTGTAAATTCTTCCCATCAGCACTTGAATGTTCATTTAACAAATATGTATCAAACATTTAGCATGTGCCAGACACAATCTGAACACTGAGCACACAACAGTGGGAACAAATATGATTCCTATCCTCATGGAGCTTCTATTCTGTGAAAAACAGATGTTAAACATGATTGACCTGTGACCAGGATCACGTGTGCCTCCAAGAGTATGTAAGAGAGAGATTCTGGTGTGAAGAAAACTGCCCTGAGGAAGTCATGTTTTAGCAAAACTCTAAAGGATGTCAAGTATTACTTATATAAAAGGGAGCACATGGAATGAATAGTGCAAGCAGACAATATGGCCATGAGGAAGGCACATTCAAGGACATGAAAGAGTAGCATAGTAGAAACCTAAAAAACAATGGTCGAAGGTGTAATAAGACATAGATGAGGCAGATCAGTGGGATCTTTTTGGTATTTAAAGAGGTTTAGGCCAGGCACAGTGGCTCACACCTATAATCCCAGCACTTTGGGAGGCTGAGGCAGGTGGATCACCTGAGGTCAGGAGTTCTAGACCAGCCTGGCCAACCTGGTGAAACCTCATCTCTACTAAAAAACACAAAAATTAGCTGGGTGTGGTGACAGGTGCCTCTAATCCCAGCTACTCAGGGGGCTGAGGCAGGAGAATCACTTGAACCCAGGAGGCGGAAGTTGCAGTGAGCTGAGATCGGGACATCGCACTCCAGCCTGGGGGACAAGAGGGAGACTTTGTCTCAAAAAAAAAAAAAAAAGTTTTAGACTCAAAAATAAGAAAAGAAACAACCTAAGTAAACAATGGGCAAAAGATCTGAACAGACAACTCACCAAGGAAAATAAACAGATAAAAGCATGTGAAAAGATGTCCAACACCATATATCATCAGGGAATTGTAAATTAAAACAAGATACCATTACACTCTATTAGAATGGCCAAAATCCAAAATGCTGACAACAATAAATGCTGACAAGAATACAGGGCAACAGAAGCTCTTATTCATTGCTGACAGGGATGCAAAATGATAGCCACTGGAAGACAGTTTGGCAGTTTCTTAGAAAACTAAACATACTCTTACCACATGATCCAGCAATTGTGCTCCTTAGTATTTACATAAAATTAGTTGAAAACATGTCCACACAGAAATCTTCACATGGATGTCTACAGTAGGTTTATTCACAATTTTCAAAACTTGGAAGCAACCAAGATGGCCTTCAGTAGTAGTATATTCAGACAATGGAGTATTATTTAGCACTAAAAGAAATGAGCTATCAAGTCATGAAAAGACATAGAGGAACCTTAAATGGATATTACTAAGTAAGTTAAAGAAGACGATCTTACGAGGTCACATACTATATGATTCCAATGATACGACATACGGAAAAGGCAAAACTATGGAAATAGTAAAAAGATCAGTGGTTGTCAGGAGTTGGAGGGACGGTGGGATAAATAGGCAGAACACAGAAGATTTTTAGGGCAGTGAAACTATTTTGTATAATACTATGATGATGGATACATGTCATTTTATAATTATCAAGGGCCATAGGATGTACTACATCAAGAGTGATCTCTAACTTGAACTATGGACTTTGGGTGATAATGTTTCAGTGTAGGGCCATCGATTGTAACAAATGTACCATTCTGGGGCTGGGATGTTGATAGTGGGGGAGGCTATGCATGTGTGCTGATAGGGGCTAGATTGGAACTCTGTACTTTCTGTTCAATTTTGCTGTGAACCTAAAACTGCTCCAAAAAATAAAGTCTCTTTTAAAAAAGAGTTTTAGGAGGGGAATTCATAATCAGATTTAAATTTGTAATAGATTGGCCGTAGTGACTCATGTGGGTAGAAATAAAGAATAAAAATGGGTGTAGGAGAACAGTTAATGCAATGGTCTAGCTAAAGATGGTGCTAGTTTAGTCTAAGGTGGCAGCAAAGGAGAAGGTGAAAACATGCTGCCCCTAGAGAAGGAAATAAGATTCCCGTAAGTGTAATGAACTGTTTGCCCTTAGTTTCCTCATCTATTAAAGGAGAGAAGAGGAGTATAGGGGTTAGAAGACAGCCTATCACTGAACCAAACTTAAAGCAAACAGAATCAACTGAGTACTTGAGTCAGACATCTTTTCTTTTGTAATGTCAACCCTATATTAGACAAGAGCAGTATCAGGCAGATGATGGTATTTATGAGAGAACTTTGAACACATAACTTCCTGAACACTTAAAATATAATGACCCACTTCTTTATTAACCTAATTGTGCTGATAGTGACTAGTAAATATGATAATGTAACCAAATACCAAAATGGACATTCTAGAAACTCAAAAATACTTCGTGTTATTTTCAGTTGGATTTTTCTTTTGTTTATATTTGTAATTTTGAGTCTTGGTAATCTTTATGTAACCTAAACATAAAGTTTTATAAACTTTAGGAAGATATTACTCATGTATAAAGTTCATAATATATAATGCAATATAGTGTTCAAAATGTTATAATGTTCATAATATACTAATAATTCTATTTCATTGCCACTACCTCATTCTTGTTTCTGTTTTCACTGAGTAAACAGAAGTAAACAATGAGAGAGATTTCAGACCCAGAAACAGTATATCCTAAGGTTTTAGTTCTTTTATCTTATTCTCTAATCTCCCAAAGAAGCTCTTCTAAAAATATATCTTATTAACGTAAAAGCCTATTAAGGAGAATGACCCTAAAAATGCTAGACAATCAGAGCTACAAGCTCACTGGTTAGCCAAGTCTTGACAAAGAGCATGTTTGAGTTTACCAAAAGTACATTTGCAGAACTAATATACTGTATTGACAATGTGTAAATCTAGACATTTTTCTTGTTAGAGCTGGTTAATATTTGCCTTAAGCACAAACAACTTACCGCTTGAGATATTTTTCATGACTAAAGAAAAATCTACTTTCTTGATGTAACAGACAAAATGATTTGAGGGTACTACATAATTATAATAAATATAAATCCATGTATCATTCTAATGTTTCATTCTTTATATATAATTGAATACTTAGTTATTGTGACAAAAAGTTACTATGGCTAAAGAAAATATGCAAGTACATCACCTGAAATAACACCTGTATCCCACGATACATGAATCCAATTCCAATGCTGTTTTCTTTCTGAGTATTTCAGCAACACTGTATGTCGTTTAATAGTCAAGATATCACTTGAATACTATCCAAGAATAATCAGATCTGCTCAAATTAGGTTTATATAATTTACCAAGGTGATGGATTCTGACTTTGAAGATTGCTGACCACTGATCACTAAGAACTAATATTAGCTGACCATATGATCACTAAGAACTAACATTTGACTGATAAATTTGAATTTCATCTTTTGTACACTGAGGAAAGAGATTAACAATTTTCTCCACATCAAGATGCTTGTTTTGAAGGATTGATTCCATCTCTCTGAATAGTTCTTTCTCCAGTTTCCTCATGTTGTCCAACATTATTTTGGCTTTTTCCTGAACAATTAAAAATATAAAGATAAATACATATACACATACACATAAATCTAACCAAATTCAACCCACCTCTACAGATAAGGATTGTTCATTCTGGCATCTAATTGTGGTTTGGTTCCCTTTTTGTTCTTTGGAGACAGAAAGAATGAAATTCTTTGGGAAAATTATTGCTCTAGATTGAGTTAATGCATGAATACCAAGTTATTTTTAGTAGAAAAGACAAAAACAATTATGAGAGTAGTTTATAAGTAAAAAACGTAAAAGACAACAAGACAACAGAAAATCTCATATGAACTGTCTATGTGGAAGGCTGCTGAAAACTGAGGCTGAAATATTTTTATCAATTTAGATCTTTTACGTTTAAAACCAGTATTATCAGATTAATAAAACAGAACAGTAATGTTCAGGAAAAAATCAACTAAAAGAAGACATTTCCTCTATTACTTCATCTTTATTTCAATAAAGGGAGAAAAAAGGTCCATGATTCTTACAGAAAGTAATTTCTAAATTGTTGATGAATCACCATTATCAGTTATAAGGTACTTATTTAGAGAAAAAGTATGTAAGAAAAACTTGGCCAGGCACCGTGGCTCAAGCCTATAATCCCAGCACTTTGGGAGGCCAAGGCGGGTGGATCATGAGGTCAGGAGTTCGAGACCAGCCTGCCAATATGGTAAAACCCCGTCTCTATTAAAAATACAAAAATTAGCTGGGCGTGGTGGCGCACGCCTGTAGTCCCAGCTACTCGGAAAGCTGAGGCAGGAGAATCGCTTGAACCTGGGAGGCAGAGGTTGCAGCGAGCCGAGATCACACCACTGCACTCCAGCCTGGACGACAGACTGAGACTCCGTCTCAAAATAAATAAATAAATAAATAAAGTCACTAGAAAGTGAGCATACTTTTTTTTTTTTTTTTTTTTGAGATGGACTCTCACTCTGTTGCCCAGGCTAACGTGCAATGGCACACTCTCAGCTCACTGCAACCTCCACCTCCCAGGTCCAAGCGATTCTCCTGCCTCAGCCCCCTGAGTAGTTGGGATTACAGGCACCCGCCACCATGTCCGGCTAATTTTTGTATTTTTAGTAGAGAGGGGGTTTCGTCATGTTGGTTAGGCTGGTATCAAACTCCTGACCTAAGCTGATCTACCCGCCCTGGCCTCCCAAAGTGCTGGGATTACAGGCGTAAGCCACTGCACCTGGCCTGTGAGCATAATTTTTAAAATTTGAACCATTATGGGGCAGAACTCTACAAAACAAATAACCTTAACATGGACTTCAATATGAAATTGTATGCAGTTTTCATCTGAGGAAACACTACATTTCATATTAGTGAGAAAAAAATGGGTTTTGTCTATAAATGGTATTGGAATAATTAGTCACCTTTTTGGAAAACAGAGTTAGAATCCCTACTTCAAGAAAGATACAAAAGTAAATTCCAGATGGACTAAATAACTAAATTTTTTAAAAACACATATATGCTAGAAGTTATATTTATACTGAGGTGAGGCAGGCCTTTTGAAACATGAAATCAAGGTGCCTTACAGCAAAAGACTAATAAATATAATTGACTAAGTTTAAAATTTTTGTCTGACAAAAAAGTTAAATGTCAAACAATAAACTGGAATAAAATTCTGCCTTATTACAAACAGTTAATATTCACATATTTTTGCCTATTTAAAGCAAAAAATAAAAAAAACAAAAATAACCCAAAATCAATGGAAAAACAGCCTAAGGGAAAAAATAGACAAGAAATTTAAAATAAAATACTTATGACCAATAGACATAGGAGAAGGTTTTCAATCTTACTAGTAATCAAGAAATGTAAATTAAAACTACCAGTAGGATTGACTCTCCCTAAGACACAAAAGAAGTTATTTACAGAGCCAGGACCAGAACCCAGCTCTTTCAGTCTTCTTCCCTCAAATTCCATTATCTTTTCACTACTCTATGTTGTCAATCAATATTTTATGATTTTTAAGTAAAGTCTAAAATAGTTACAGCTTTAGAATTTTTATTTAAAAATAAAAATGTAAATAAAAAT